TTAAATAAGTGATAATTGTATATAAAACTTATAATATTGCTTACCGATTGTTTCCTTTCTAGCTAACTAAACATCATGATACAATATTATAACTCGAATACAATAAAAAACATACATTTGCAAGTTGTCTTTTCATTATTACGGTAAACATTAAATGTGTTACAACTATTTTAGTTTTTAGGTAATTTTTTGAGGAAGAACGCCATACGATACAGTTATTTGCATATTTTAAATTATTTTTTTTTTTCAATTCACGGACACTGTTTTTTGTAGGTGTCGTAGAAAATCGTCGCCTAGAAATAATAGGAGTTCGCATCAGAAGGGCGTTATAGAAACGGCTGACTCTTCATTATTTATTTATATTAAAAAAGAATCGGACGATAGTTCAAACGGTAATGGCATCGATTATAACAGCACGCAAAGCGACGTGGACACCAAAGCCGAACTTCTTCATTGTTTTAACTGTGAAGCAACGTTTAACAGTAAACTGTCTTACGCCATGCACAGTATAAGTCATAGCGAAGACGGAAAGTACTCCTGTCCAATTTGCGAATTTACGACGACGTACAAGGACAAAATTAAATTGCACAAGCACACACGTGACAACAAGAAAGATTATGCGTGTAAAATATGTCGCCAAACGTTTCTTTACAGCAGAGACGCCGAAGAACACGAGAACATCCATCTGGGAAGGAAGCCGTTCATTTGCGAGGTGTGCGGAAAGGAATATGCCTTATCGAAACATCTTGCGTCTCACAGGAGACACCAGCACTGGGAGATACTGAAGATAGCACCCTCGAACAAATTTGATTGCACCACCTGCCAAAAACATTACACCACCGCCTCAGGATTGTGGAGGCATCGTCTCAGGTACCACAACGTTCAGCAGAGAGAACAATTTTTGTGTGACGAGTGCGGCAAGGCGCTAACGAGTAAAGAGGGGTTAAAGTTTCATCGGAGAACTCACTCAGGTTATAAACCGTTCCATTGTTCCGCCTGTCCGAAAAAGTTTGTTAAGAAACAATTGTTGAAAGAACACGAAAGAACTCACTCTGGCGAACGCCCGTTTATTTGTAAGTACTGTAACAGGGCGTTTACGCAGAGAACGCCGTTGAAGATACACGAAAGATCTCATACGGGGGAAAGACCTTATCAGTGTCGATTTTGTGACGGGAAATACGTGTCGAAGAGTGTCGCTGATACTCACATGAGGAACTGTAAAGGAAAGGGTTGAAACAAAACTAGAAATATATATTTTTTTATGGGCCCGTTCGACAGTGAAAGAAGGAGGTAATTTTTGAAAACGATAATCGTACGCAGATGATTGATCTAATACTCAACGAAATGTAATGTTTTAATATTAATTTTATTAAATCGAAAATTATTGTTTTAATTGTATTGTATCGAATTATTTTGGTATTTGTTAAAATTTTGTTCGAATAAATGATGTTAAATCTATCTGCGGACAAGTACAAAAATTTATAGTGCCAAACATACCGTAGGATTTCTTAGAAGACTATAAATATTTCGACAGTTAATTGTTATTATAAAATAAAGAAATAACACCAATATTGTAGGTCCTGTGTTGAAGGATTTTATTTCGTTCATGTTACAAACTTGTACTTGCATATTCTTTTACATTTTCTTGTCTACACCCTGAAGGAAATTTTGGGAGGGGGGGAGGGGAGTCTAGTTGGGCATTAGGGCCTTCTTAGGGGTGGGGATGGGAGATCAATGTTACATAGGGATGTAAGAAAGTAACTGGAACCTAAAAGTTTACAATAAATGATTTAGTGTCACAAGAAATGTTATTATTTATGACTTGGTGTTTATTTTTTATTTTTGAGTTATTCTTCTAGAAAATATTTATCTTTTGATACCTTAATTTATAAAATTTGTGTTTATATGTATATATTGCTATGACAATACACGTCAAAACTAAAAACGTTTTTGCTCTGTCAGTAAAGAAGTCTAACGTATTAATTTGTACGTACATACTTAGGTAAGTAATAAATGTGTTTCCAGCATGAATTTGGAAATTGTTCTAAATAAAATATTCTGTGCAGGTACTTTTGTAATATTGTTTTGTTTGTGTATTTATCTTTACTGAACTTGTTTAGCTTTAAGTATGATGTTTGTGCGATGCTTTTTCTTCGTAATCAAGGGAAGTTAATGAGATTGCCAATAATATAATTACCACAGTGAGTGTCTTTATTATTTCCGAACAGAATCGTTTTATTCTTATAGTTACCTAGGTTCTTAATTAATAAATAATAATTAGGCTAGCTCTAATTGTTTAACTTTTTAGGTTGATAATGTTGTTAGCAGCGAAGGATTTCCGAATGTTAAATAAACCGAGGGAAGGTGTTACACATGTAACGACCCCTAAAAACATCAAGAAAAATAAGATCATTTACAAAAATGAAATAGATGCAACGACAGGAAGTTCAAATGGAGACTACTCGTGCGGTTCCTGCAGGAACATTTACCCTTCCTTCGTCCAGCTTTTGACTCACATACAGAATTTTCCTTTCTGCAGCGAGAAATCTGACAGTTGCAGCAAATGTAATACGCCTTTGATGCCTTGTGAAGATGGCAAATTTTATTGTAAAAAATGCCAAAGGAAAATAAAAAACCACGGACAGATCCGGATCCATAGACCGGTATTGTGTGAAATATGCGGTAGATCTTTTCGTAAAAGAAAATATTTGAACACTCATCTGTTGGTTCACACTGATATAAAACAATACACGTGTCATATTTGTCAACAATCTTTCAAACAGCCTTCAAGTTTAGGCACTCATCTAAAAAGACACAGTGCCGCATGGTTCGGCTGTGACAAATGCGGAATAAAATACAGAAAAATAGATTCCTTAAGGGCACACATTGAAAAGCATTGCAAAGGGAAAATAGATGTACA